GAATTCAACACACTGTTTTCTACAATAGAAACCTGCTTATCATTAAAATTTCTCAACTCAAACCAAACATACAGCGAATTTTAAGAAGCGTGTAGATCATTGAGAGGAAATAAGGCAATTCGGGCTGATTGCATCAATGGAAATGTTGTAGCAGAGTTTTTCGACGCTTCGAAAGATATCCTTTTTAAAATTTGTAAAACATCTATTACTCAGGGATCTTTTCCGAACTCTTTAAAATTAGCAAAAAAACTTCTAATTTTAATTTAGGTGCTCATACCAACTTAACAAATTATCTTCATATTTTAGTTCTACCAGTTTTCTCTAAAATATTAGAAAAAATAATGTATAACAGAGCCTACAATTATTTTGTTGATAATACATTTATATATTTTAACCGATTTGATTTCCAATGAAACAATTCTACACGCCATAATCCGATTAAAACACAGCATTTCTGATTCTTTTAAAAACTCTCATTATACACTTGGAGTGTTCATCGATTTTTCAAAAGCTTTTCATAATTTCTATCACTATATTCCCAGGGGCGGGTTTTGTCACTCGTCAAGGAGGGGGCTAAAATGGTCTAAAAAAAAAAAAATAATAATAAAAAGGCTGCATTTTTTCATTTTTAAGTAACTTTCTTTTTTAACTTTTTGTACTTTAGTGTAATAATCAAGTTCATATACGTATAACTACATATAGTAGTCAATTTTATTCGTCAGTGTAATAGTCCAAATCTGTATAATAGTCAATTTACAAAAGAGAAATTTCTGAAAAAAAGTCCCAAGGAGGAAGGAGGGGGGTGGGGGTGGGGTGGGGGGCTGGGCTACTACTCTATGCCCCCCCCCCCCAAATTAAAAAAAAAAAAAAAAAAAAACTTTTATTACGTGATTATTTTTTCCTTTTCTATCCCGTTGCCGTAAAAAAACGGATGAGTAGAAACTCGCTTTTATTTGCAGCTATTAATAAATGTAACATGTAATGTTCCACAAGGATCCATAATTGGGTCCCTATTGTGTTAAATATATATAAAAAAACCATGACAAAGCCTTCAACTTTACCACTATAATTTTTGCTGTAAACACAAAACTATTTCAAACTTATGAAAACATAAGTACAGTATTTAATAATTTGAGACAAGAATTAAATAAGATGTCATATGTTAAATAAACAATAATCAAAATAATTGTTTTACAATACTTAGTTGTACAACTATATTATTCATTTATACGTTTATTATACGTTTCCTTTTAAATTATGTAAATATTGTATGGAAAAGTGAGTGCAAAACTTAACTTGAAGCTCTTTAATTAGCATAAGAAACATGCCGCTCGTTAAATTAATTTATTAAATTGTTTTGTTTTTATTTTCAACTTCTGAGAGAAATGAAAATCTTAAATACACAATGTTTATAATATTTTATGTTTTATGTTTAAATGTAAAAGTCATTTATCTTTTATTTATAAACCTTTATAACCTTTTATAACTTTTCCATAAGAAAAGACCGCGAAAAGAAAGCACGGATAATTAAGTTTTGAAGTCTACTTTAGGGTTGTCCAAAGTAAAATCACTCTAATATTAAAAAATATATATTTAATTATGTTATTTGGTGTACCTTAATAATGTTATCAATATATTTTAATTCAAATTGAAAATCCGTATTTAGATATAACGTGCGCTGCAAAACATCTTGTGTCTACATTTTAAATAGCAGCAATATATCAAATGTTTAAACATGGCAGCAGCTAAAGAACATAGATGTGATACTGAAACCTTGCACAAAAGCTGTATATTTAACTAAATATTTCTTACTTAGGCAAAATAATTTTTTATGTCATGACGTATTTTTAGCAAAACAAACATTTCTACTGGAAATTCGAAAAAAACCTGTGTAAATCTATTTTGTAACAAGATATGTCATGAACAAAATTTTTAAGTTTGAACCAACCCCCTCCCCCTTTTTTTAGGGGGTTACAAATTTTATGTGGTCATAGTTTTTAAACAATAAGATTTTTGTTTTAATTTTAAAATTTATTGACGATACATATTTAGTTAAGAATAGTTAAAAAATATTTTATCAACTCGTTGCAATCTCTCCTTAGGGGCAGGTGAAGCTAAAATTTTAGGGCTTTTTGTTCTCTTTTACAACAGACTATTGCTATAAAAGCTGGCAAAGAATATTGAATTATCATTGATAAAAAAATCAAATAACTGTGATGCATATAGTCTAACGCTGGATCAACAGAAGTGATTCTTATCACTTCTGTTGATCCAGCGTTAGACTATATGCATCATGATGCATGTTAATTTTATAAGTAGTAACAGCCTTAAAACACAATTTGAACAACTGCTTGAAATTTGTGGTAGTGAGGCTAAAGATATAGTTACTTTAGTCAAGTTAGATTACTAAGTCGAACTTTAACTCTAAGAAGATTTTGGGTACTTTTACCCGAAATAGTTTCTAAAAGTAAAGCGAAAGACACAAGTTTAGTATTAGGCATAAAAACTTAGGTATAAAAATGTTTGTCCATTTCTAGAAATTATAAGAAAGAAACATTTATACTAATATTTTTTACTAATTACTATTAGCTCTGAAAGATAATCTCAATTTAAAAATATTTAATAAATTTGATATAACTTCTGTGATAACAAAAACAATTTAAAAGAATAACTTGGATTTATTTCCATATCCATTTTGTGAAGAAACATAGAAATTATGTTTAAGTTGAGGCTTTTAGAAATGAATTTCAAGTGGAATTTATAAAGTTAAAAAAAAATAAAGCACTTAAAGAAGCCTAAAAAAATCTAAAGTTAATAGAGCTTATATAATTTTATAAAAAATATATAAGCATTTAGGTTTATCCACATTTGTGCAGACGTGCTATTACATTATTTTCAATTCGGAAGTACTGTGAACAGTTTTTCTCAAAAATGAAACATGGTAAAACAGATCAGAGAAATAGATTAAAAGATGAACACCTTACTGATACACTATATCCAATGTAAATGCAGACCTGAATGTCACTTTAAAACTATTTTTTCTTATGCTTATTTTTTAATTATTATTTTGTGTAAAAAGAAGCATTTTAATAAGTATTGTCTTGAGCACTAAATAACCTTGCACTAGCTCTGTTTGCATAGAAAGATCTCGTGATACATTTTAACAAAAGCTTATGAATAATTAAAAGAATTTAAATGGTGTATTGATTTAATCATGCATCTCAAAATGATTTATGCGCTCTAGTATTTTTGAAATGTATTAGTTTTTGCAAAACCAATAGGCCGGGTGAATATAAAAAAGCAATTGTTTTTCATTCAGCGTTTTTGGAGTAATTGCTCAGCTTAACTGAGTAAAAATTTGAGTGAAATCACCTAAATTTTTACTTACGTAATAGCTAGAACTCTACACTCTTTTTGCATATTTGGATGATTGGATTTGCAATGATTGGATTTGCAATCACAGATAGCAATCTTTCAAATTACTTCCGCATCACTTTTGCAACCACTGGTTTCAGACGAAGAAAGTAGGATTGAATGCTTAAATTTAATGAATCCTTTTTTGAACATAAAGTTCATTTGTTCAAATTTATAAAATCTGATTAAAATAGGTGATAAGTTTAGATTAGTGCTGTTTAGCCATTTTTTTACGGTAATGCAGTGCATTTAGTTGCGCACTTCCGCAATCGTATAAAGGGTCGTCCATAAATTATGTCACGCTAAAAGGGGGAAGGGGGGGTTGGTGGTTTTGTGACGACTTGCTTTTTAAGTGTTACGATTTTGTGACGAGGGGGGAGGGGGGGAGGGGAGTTCGAAAACAGTCTAAAATTGCGTGACGTAATTTATGGACGACCCCTAATACCTGATGTATCACCTAATTATGGAAGTGCGCAACATTTCACCACCGTAAACGCGCAATTACTAGCTGTGGTAAAAAATAATATTAGGGTTGCATTATTTTTAGAATTTATTTATAGTTATTTATAGATATAAATAACAAAAAAGCGATACACGAGTCTTGGGAATCTATATTATTATAATTTTAATTTATTTCCTTTTATTAAAATTTTATACTTTTTATGTTTTATTGTTTTATATACACAAGAAAAGTGTTATTAAATATATAATACAACAAAAACATAAAAAACACTAAAACCTATAATCACAATATGATATCCAATATATAATATATTGAATATTGCGTATAAAATGTAAACACCTTAGGCTAAAGTATATACTTCGTATACAAAATATATATCTATATTATAAATCGTTTACATTCACTACTGGTAAGCTAAATCAATTTTTTAGTATCTTATTATCAAGCGTTATTCATTCCGTTTACCCGTATTAGCGTTCTTCATTCAGTTTATCAGCAATTAGCTTTGATCAAAGTGCCATCCGTTTTTCAAAGCAACATTTTTGTATAAAGTATTTGTTAAAAGAATAATGTATAAAGTATTTGTTAAAAGAATATTTATGTCAATCAAAAATTTTCTTAAATAAATTAGATAGCTTTGCAAACTTAATTGTTGCTACAGTCTAGATTGTAATGACAATGGAGTGTGTAAAGCTGACTAGATTATACTAGATATCTGGTAACTAAAGCTCTTACTTGAGAGCTTTAGTTATATTACTAGTGTTTACTTTTGTTATTCTTCTATTAATTTCTCATAATTGAACATACTTAATATATATTCAGTTACATACTGAATATATAGTATGAGTACTGTATACTCTTAACATATTCTAATATTAATAGATATGCTAAGATTTTAACATTGCATATTCTAGTTTTGAACGTATAAGTACAATATATATACATTGCAATTTGCAATGTATATGCAATGCAATGTATATACATTTCATTATTTTTTTAACAGTATATAAGTTATACATTAAAGTAAAGATTTTAAAATAAAATAGTTATAAAAATAATAATAAAAATAATAATAATAATAATAATAATAATAGCAATAATAATAACAATAATAATAGTTTTTTTGTTTATTTTAAATATTCAAGACATAATTTTTCATAATAAACATTTTGGAATCCAAGTGACTGTTTAACCTTTTTAACTATGGAAAATTATGAACTTCTTTCTACTGCAGTTGTGTCTGGAATAATCCCTGTGAAAAAGTATCGATCTAAACAAACAGGGTTTACAGTTTGCATTGGATTTGTGGATGGACCTATTGTTAATGGATACTTTTGTTTAGGTATATAATAATCTAAAATTTTAATTTTTTTATAAGTATATCTACTTACTGAGGAAAACAAAGAGAAGGAATAAAGGAACTCAAAGGGACCAAAAAACTCTTAAAGCATAACAAGATATCTTAAAGTTTATTGCTAAACTTAACAAAAAAACACAAAATTACAAAAATTTGGATATAAAGCATTAAAATTAAGAAAAAAATTATGCTTGAGTTTTTTTGTGAGAAATTTACACTAAAATTCTAATGGCATTATTGTCTATCAAAGTAAAAAATAAGTATCTTTTTTTATTAATTTTAACACTTTTTATATATCAACTAACCCAGGAGTAGTCGTTATTAAATTAACATAAGTTGACTCATAGACGGATTCAGAGTGAGTAAAAAAAAAAATTGTTATGTAAAATGACCTTTTACATGAAACCATTTCCCAAAAATAAAATAAAAACAATTAAAAAATAGACATTTTTAGTTGTGTGCAAAGTAAGGATGCAAAGTCTAGTAAGTGACCAAGGCCCTGGTCCCAGTTACTGCTAAAAATGTTACTTTATGCAAACTGCAATGCTTGGCCAGGGTATTTACATTTGTAAGAATTCACCCATTTGTCTGGAAACTAGGTTTGAAGACTATTCTTGTATGTGCTTTTGTTTAGTACCACTTTTATCGCCTTTTCTTTGTTCTATATTGCTCTCCTTCATCGCAAGACTGCACTCTTTTTTGTTATTATTGATCAATTTGAGCTTGAAAAAGATCTCACTTCTGCTACAGCATGGGGCTCAAATCAATTAAAAATAATCGCAATAAGCTAGATCTTCCTATATTTATGAACGGTAATGTACTTGATGAGTCATCTATCCTTTATCTTCTAGGATAAACTCTCTCTTCCGATCTTACTTGGAAACCATATATTAAATCCATTGCAAAATTAGCATTTACTTAGATTATCTTTATCTCTTTATCGTGCTTGCCACTTTTTTACTCCAAATTCTATCATTTATCTCTATAAATCTCAAATCTGTCCTTGTATATAATGGTACCTTTTCTCTTTTAGACAAGGTGCAAAACTTATTGTAAACATAGTTGGACATTCTTTTTTTCTTTTCTATAAATACTATACTGGCCACTGCTCTAAAAGAGGTAGTGTCTTTTGTGCCATCTACTAAAATTCATTCTTGTTTTACTCGTCATTTAATTAAGTCTCACCTTTTTACTGTGACTGTTCCTAAGTGCTCCAAAATATTTTATTAATTTAGTATTTTCTAGAGTTTTTTAAAAAAGGAACTGTGTATTGAGAACTTATTCACTAACACTTTTGTAAGACTATGATAAAAATGTTGTCTGAAACAAAAAAGCTGCAGGAAAAAAAGATTTTGTAAGTGTTAAGAAAAACTTACATGTTCAAAAAAAATTATTGCTACTCAATTTTAATGAATTACATGTTGCATTTAAAAAAGACTACCCTAACGTCAAAGTCAGTTTGTAAAAGTTTTGTACTCTTAAACCTGTCAGGTAATGCGCCAGGTACTCATAATGTATGTGTATGCAAAAAAGAGTTTAATCAAGAATTAACGTTAACATTGAAAGCTCAAGTGATTTGGATGTCTAATCTTGGTTAATCTGTTTAACTGGAATTGCCAGGAAGAAAATGGCTATTAGATTTAATAGCTAACGCTTCAAGTTAGAGGAAAAGTTCTTTGCAAATAACTCTTCTTTATTCTGTGCAAAAGATCAGACCTATGAATTAGAAATTAAATTAAGTGCTTTGAATCAAGTCCTTTAACCAATTTAAATAATGACTAAAGTATCAAAAACTATAGAACACAGAAAATCATCATTATCACCAATTTCTCTTAATCTATCATTCACTGTATTTGTGGTCTTTGAAGTAACTTTTTTTTCTGTTGAGTATTATCTTTTGCAAAGTTCACATAGAGCAAGTAGGTCTGCTACTTGCTCTTTGTAAGTCTAATTTGAGTTCAACTTTCTCATCTTGTGATCTTAGTATTGATGGTTATCTTCCTTTAATTCGTTAAGACTCTAATAGTCACTTGCTTGGCCTGGACATTTACACTCCTGAAAATTCACCTATTTGTTGGGAAACTAGGTTTGAATCCACAGACAATTATTTTATGTGCTTTTGTTTAGCACTATTTTACTCTATTACCTTTCTCTTTGTTCTATATCGCTCTTCTTCATCTCAAGACTGCACTCTTTTCAATGTTATTTCTGATCAAATTAACCGAGCCCTCTCTCTTTATCTTTCAGATGATATCGTTGTTTTCGGTGACTTTAATGCTCATTATACTGAATGGCTTGGCTCTAGTGTCAGTGACTCTGCAGGCGTTAATGCCCACAACTTTTGCCTTTCTCAATCTCAAACACAAATAATCAACTTTCCAACTTGCTTTCCAGACAATTTGAATCATTTGCCTTCTCTACTTGACTTATGCTTCTGATCCTAGTCAGTGCTCAGATTCTCCACATTTACCTTTAGGTGAATGTGGAGAATCTGATCACTGACTAGGATCTTGTGATCACTGACTAGGATCTTGTGATCACTGACTAGAATCTTGACTTGTGGTTTTAGCAACATACCTTTTACAAGCCTTCTCCGGAAGGGCGTGTGGTAGCACATCTTTTACGTCTATGTTTAAATTAATTTTTTTAGACAACTTTACCATGGTTTATATAGTAAGCATTTTAAGAATTTACAAAGTTGATATATAAAAATCTAGAGAGAATAAATCAGCAATACTCGATGTTAGGAAATGAATACTATGCAAAATAGAAATCTAAACAAAAAAACTAAAAAAAAATTTAAAATTAAGAAAAGGAAATTTTTGTCAAAAAAAAAAAAAAAAAATCTAAATATTTTACTGTTTTTGTTTTCTTTTTTTTTAAGGATGTTTTTTATTTTCCACAGCCAAAACTAATACAAGCAGATAGGAATATAACATAAACAAAAACATTTTTTGATATATAATTTATTTGCGACTTTGTTCAGTCATTATATTTAGTAAATACTTTATTATTTGTGCTATAAATAAGGACAATTTTAAAATTTGTTTTTTAAATATTTTAGCTTTTTACTGTTTTTATTAATGCACAGGAAAGCACAAAAACTAATTGCTATTTATTTGTAAAAAATATATATATTTTTTTAAACAAGTTTTTCATGAAAAATAATAAAAACCCAATACTAACATTCAAATATAAAATATTTGGTTGTTTTCACTACCCCCATTGCAATAGTTTACACTTTTGTTGGATTCTCTAAATTGTGCAACTAAACCTGATAGTTAATTTCCTGATGAACTTTTGTTATTGACACTTCAAAATCTGTGTTGTTATATTACTGAACTTTTTTAACGAAACTTTTAGGAGCCTATTTAAAATATTTTTTTAAGTTTATTAATATAATTTTTCACACAGAACAATTGTTATTTGCATTTTCTCTAGTAATTCGTCTTAACGTTGAAAATTGGCAAAGTAAATGAAACAATTAAACAAAACCAAATATATTTAGTCATAAATACATTTAAAAAGAAAACTATGGTATTCTTTTATTTATTTTTTTCTGTCATTACAAAATTTATTAATCAAATAATATATTTTACAAATAAATAATTTATTTTCTGGTTTTCCTAATATATAAGTATTGAGAAAAATTTTATATATAGCAATAACATTTTTAAAAACTAAAAGACGTGAAAACGAATAAATATAAGAAAAAAATCAACAAAGTTTCTTATAGTTCTTGAGTAAACTGTGTACACAAAATAAATGTGAAAGAGTAAACATTTTTTTTTTCAGTGGTTGTATTAATATATTTTTAATTGTGTTTGTTTTTTGTTTTTGTTTTCCCATTAAACTTAAAATATGTTTTAAAAATGCAAAAAAAGAAAATGTTAGAAAAAATATTTTGCACAAATATTTGGAAAATCCGTATACAAGTTACAATTCAATAGCAGAAAAGTTGCAAATAAATCTCTACACCTTAGTCATGTTATTTATCGTTTTTCCTAAACAAAATCGATTAAATGCAAATCTGGTATGGAAAGGAGGTTTTTCAAGATATAAAACTGATTAGTAAACAAGTTAATAATTATATGAATAATCCAAGCCTCTCACTAAGGGAATGTGCAAAAAGATACGAATTTTTTCATAGTTTGGTTGTAAAAGTTTAAAATAAACATGTTTTTCAAGCTTTCAAATAACAAAATTGCCTAACCATTTTGAAATTCAAAATAAAAGTGCAAGAACTTGCTGAAGAAAGTTTTATGACAAGTATATTTCTAAAAATTTCTAAATTATTGAAGATGATAAAGCTTATATGAAGTATGATCATCAGCAAATTCTTTGTGTTGTCTTTTAAAATGCACAAATTTAGAGGAAAAGCAGAAAAGAAAACTTAAATACACAAAGCATAATAAGTTTGCTAAAAATGCTTTGAATTGGCAAGCTGTTTGTAGGTATGCCAAAAAATCAGCACACTACATTTCTGATTCCACACTTTCTGGTAAAATACATATTAAGGTGTGTTTACAAAAACGTCATTTACCTTTTACTAAATTATTTTAGGGAAAATAAGGTAAGATGACGAATGGGGCAAGATGACGACCTACCGTTATGTTAAAGAGCGTTTCCAAAAATGTCTTTACTTCTTACTAAATCATATAATAGTAGATATGTGTTTTCGCCTGATTTATCATCATGTCATTATAGAAACTGGCTATGGGGTGGTATAAACAAGTTATCGTGAAAGTTATGTTTAAAATAGCAAATCCAAAAACTGCCCATGATTGAAAATTATTGCAAAGTGATGGGTAAGTATTATTTGAAAAATGCTATGCAGAAATCAAATAGTTTTGATTTTTGTTATGTATGCAAGCTTATGGGTACTACCAAAGCGAAAGTTCGAAATTTTATTAGATGACGACAGGAATAAATTAATTTCTTTGAAATATTTTATCTTTTATTCTTTTAATAAAATTAATACTTAA